TAATATGATTATAATTCAAGTGATCGCCAATAATAGTTTTGTTTGTGCATTAATATTCAACCAACATAGATTAAACAGGTTCAGGGTAAACCTATTGATTATATGTTAGTCAGAAAGCGCACATGAATACGAGAAGAATAAAGTAGAGGCCTATATTTAGGTCAGATTCAATCTCTTTTAGGTTGGATTTGTACTTACATCTCCGAATCGTTAAGGGGTGTAACCTTCAACTTGTGAACGATTTACAAATTCTTAAAACTTGTTGGCGACTCTTTTACTTTAGCTTCATTCCCTTTGGACGCCACCATGCTTATGTGTATGATCACAGTGGGGCTTAAGTGTGGAATGGCTTGAAATATTCCCTACAAGAGGTAAGAATTTTTTTTTTTTACCGAATTTAATTTCATTAATTTTATAATCTGTATAGTCAATTTCATTAGTACAATTTGTTGTATATTGATCAAGATCTTGCTAAAATTTGAAGTTTTCTCGTTTAATTTGGTGAATTTTGTTAGTATTTCTTATGCAACAACTCTCAATTACTCACTCAAGATGCTAATCGAGTTCAAAATAGGTATAAATGCAATATATGATTGTGAGTTATGTGTTGTTTAATATTTATTGCGAAATTGGGATATATGATTGTGAATTGTTTGTTGTTTAATCTAGTTTAATTTGTCAAATTTTTTGCTGCAAAAATTGCGATTGTGATGGTGTATTTAGGAAGAGGAAAAATGGGTTGGTGTCAATCAAGAAGGAACTAATTTTGAGAGACATTATGTAATTATGTGTGATTTTAGCCTTTTGTTTTAGTTTGGTGGCTGATTTAATATGGGTGAATCGTGTTTTGTTTCTTGTGTTTTACTTGTCTAATGATATTGTGTTAATTAGAATGCTCATTTTGTGCATTAGATTAAGTGAGCATAATGCTAATGTTATGTTTATGTTATTCATGTATATTATTATATTTGGTTTTGTTAGCCAGTAGTATTAGCAAATTTATGAAAATTTGATATGGAATTATTAGGCTTAACTGCTATAGACTAATAATATAATTAATTTCTTACAAAGTTGGAGTATAAATTGGAGCTTGCATATGATTGTAATACCCCGTATTTTTGAAATGTATTTTTTTATTAATTAATTATTATTCTCTTAAAAAGGGTATTTTAGAAATTTATTTTACTATTTGAATTTTGGAGCCAAAATGATATTTGCATTTGGGAGCCAAAAGTATTTTAAAACTTAATTATTATTTTTTATTTTGGATAAGATTTATTATCAATTTATTTTATTTTAAAAACCGGATTAATTATTTATATATATATAGCGGATATTTTAATTAAACGAAATTATATTTTCTTATTTAATTTAAAAGGGCCGAATTTCCCTAATTGATTAGCTAAGATATTCGGATTTTCTAAGTAGAAAATCTGTTTTTTCTTAGTTAAATTAATTAGTGAATAATTGGTATTTTCCTAATTAATTATTTTACACAAAATATATTATTTACACAATTATTTTTAATCCTTAAATCTAGAAAAATAATTTCCTAAATTCTACATAAGGGGTCCAACATTTTGAGCTATGGAAGCTCAAAATATTTGGCCACCTTGGTTGATTTATGGGTTATTTATTTTGGTAATTTATATTTTTAATTATTTCCCTTAAATCTATAATTTTCCTTAATTTTTATTTTCCATCTACTAAATATTTGATCATCTTATTTCCCTGCCTTATTTCATCCTTGATTATTCTCCAAGTATCTCTTTTGCCATATTTTATTTCATGACAACACCCCTTCCTTAAATAAATTATTCTTAGTCACCTTATTTAACTTTCCATAATTCTTTAACCCTCTTTTGCAAGTAATTCCTTAATTTTTTTTTTTACCATAATTCTTCCTACATTCTCCTACTATATCTCTCATTCATGAGCCTATAAATTCCCCTTCATACCTCTCATATTCTTCACACCAAAAACCCAATTCTCTTATTTTCTCTTCTTTTTCTTTTCCCTAATCCTTTTCATACTTTTCTTCTCCTCTTTTTACACAAATCATCCCGTTTATCTTTGAAGTTAGTTTTCGGGCACTTCTTGTCAGTTTTTGGAGTATTGACGTTTCACAGAAAATTGTTCCTCGAAAATTGTTCCTTGAGGTTAGGCTCAAGAATTACTAATTTAGAGTTATATTAAAGGAGTTATGGCCTCTGCAAGTTCTACCTATTATTTCCAACGAATACTCAATTCTCTTTAATCCTATTCCTTTATCTTCTTCATGGTTAGGTTTTTTAGAATACAAGTACCTATTTCAAAGCTATAATTTTATATTAAAGTATTATTTTAAAAGAGTTTTATAGTCCATGCACATTAGATTTGAGTTTATGTTGTGATAACCTTATACTTATGTTATTTTCAAGGTTTATTCGTGAGTGAACTTTGAAAATGCAAAGTATTGATTGATATTCGGAATCAAGGTTCTTGAGATTCTTTTTGTGTGGTTTTTCTAGCAAGGAACAAGGTACGTTTAGGTGGCTAGATATCTTTGAAAGTGATTGGTTTGAATAAAATGTTTTATATGATGTGATTGGTGATTGAATTAAATTGATTTAAATTATGATTTTGAAATAAATTATATTTGAAGGTATTGATTTTAATAAAAGTATTTTGAATGATTGATTTTTAACTCGTGTCTTGAATGGTTTGAATTACTTATCATGTTTAAACAAAGAAATTGATTCGAAAAGTTTGTTGAATTAGATAAAAGGGTTTGGAAATTTTTTTGAAAAAAAACTGATGGGAATTTGATTTATGTACTACTATAATTGTTTGATATTTTCCTAATTTACAAATTAATCATTTTCACAAATTTTATACGTGGCTGGTCATACTGCACATGGTAAGTATTACAAGAATTAATTCTAATCACATATAAAAATGTCACAAGGGCGGGGGTGAGAATCGATCCCAGGATCTCCTGAAATCGGGAGGAAAGCTCTAACCACTTGAGCTATCCATCACTCTCTCAAGGATTCATATATCATTGCCCTATAAAAAATTTACAAAAGATGAATTGCAAATTAGGTGGCTAATTAAATCAAAACAAAAATAACAAACAAAACTTAAAATTATTAGGTGCTGAACCCCTTTCATTATCACTAATTTTTTTTTAAAAAAATGGAAAGAACAAACCACAAAATTCCCCTCAAAATCAGACCCCTTGTTTGCTGAAGATTCAAAACCGTTCAAACGATCCTTAATTCTAAGACTCAACCAATTAACGTTTGCATGATCAGTTCTTCGACAACATTTCAAGGTTAGATCTATTAATTATTCAGTTTTTCGTAAATATTGTTTTATTCTAAGAAGCAATGGTGATTTAATTTAATTTTTTTAAAACATATGTGGTAGCAATTGAATTTAGTAGGATTTTAGTTGCGATACTTGTATAGAATTGCTTTCCAATTTTGATTTATTTTTGCATTTTAGCTTCAATTTTTCTATGGATCAACTGATTTTTGTTCTTTTATTTTCAATATTTCATATGTTAGCTAATCTTATTTCGTTTAATTAATTTGATTTTATCAACAAGAAATTACTTTGATTGTAATTTTTGTGTATAATCTGTTCAATTTTCGAATAACAATTTGCATGTCCTGTTGTTTAGTTTTATCGAGTTAAATTACTATCAATAAAGCAAGGGGGCACTTGCAAGAATGAGGGGGAAGGTGCAGCAGGGGGCTGAGGCAGGGGGAGCAAGGAGGGGCAGTTGCAGGGAAGAGGGCAGTTACAAAGTTACTAGCATAGAAAAATCTCAGCCTTCACAACTTAAAACTATTGGTTCATCTTTCTTATTGTCCTTTCTTTAATACTTGATTTGCAATTAACTTCTTTAACACTTCCTGCCCAATGCATAGTTTGTTTAATCTTAATTTAGCGCCAACCAACTTAGTGAAATGAAAGTGTGTATATTGTTGGTGCAATGATTTGTTGAATCTTTGAGTTTTATGGGCTTCATATTGCATTTTTATGATCAATTTCTTCATATTGCATTTTTATGATCAATTTCTTCATATTGCAATGATTTGTCAGGTGTGTGCGCCCGCACAGAAGACGCACAGCAAGTCGTGCAAACTCTCTAGTTAGGCTCTGTTTCTTCAGTCTGGCTGTGCGGATTCTGACAGGGCTACGCGCCCGCACAGAAGCCGCACAACACCCCGCGCACAACAGTTAGCTTGGCTTCTTGATATCCTCTTTCTTTCGGCACATAATACCTACAAAACTAAAGCATGGAAATTAAAATAAAAACAAAGCGAGAAGACTAAGAGGGGGGAAGATAAGGGAGAAAATAAAAGAGGAAGCAAAACTAAGTAAAAATGCTTAGAAAAAGGGCCAAACAAGTGCAAATGAGGGGAGAATCCTTAGAGAAAAAGGATAAAAGAGTGGCATAAATGCCACTTATCATCTAACAATGTTTATTGTTTAATTTAGACACAATTTAAATTTACAACGTGAAGGAAAGGTCATAATAAGTAATAGATCTTGATAGATAAAGGAGCATTCGTAATTTCTATCCATGTCTACTAAAAGGCCAACTTTGAATTCTTATGTAATAAACTAAAAAGTAAAATATTTACTCTAACTACACCACTCATCAATACGTGAAAAAATGAATTTGACACCGGTTCAAACCCGGCCCAAGGCACCGGTTTGAACCGGTACCAATATGGGGGGTGCCAAAAAGTGGTTTAAAAAGGCACTGGTTCAAATCGGTGTCAAAACTTGAAATCGGCACGGTTAACCGGTGCCAAAAATGGGTTAAAAAAATTATGGAATTGTTTTTGGCACCGGTTAACCGGTGCCAAAAGTGCCAAAAAAAAATTTAATTTTTTTTTAGAACATCAAACAATTAAAAATCGACTAAAATTATTTAGAACATCAAAATATAGATCGAATATCAATCAATATAATAAAAAATTTACAATATATAATCAAAATAATTTTACAATATAGATCAATACAGTAGTTCAATTACAACATATAAAAAAAATTACAATATAAATAAAAAAAATAAACTCAATATTCTTGCATCTTGATTCTTCCATTTAAGATCTAACTCAAGATACCTGCACCAATTAAAGCAAAAAAAAAAACGATTAATATAATTAAGCTTCGAAAAAAAACCAACTAAGATTCAAACCCAGAAAAAAATTTGAAATCGCAAAAAAATTAAACCGAAAAAAAATTAAATCGAAAAATACCCAGAAATCGAAAAAAAATTGCCAGATAAAAAATAAAAATTAAAAAAACCCAGAAATCGAAAAACAAAAAATCAAAATCGAAAACAAAATATATTAAAATCGAATAAACAAAAACAAAAATCGAAAAAAAATTCAAAATCAAACATAAGAAAAAATATAATCCAGAAATCAAAAAATAAAAAATCAAAATCGAAAACAAAATATATAAAAATCGAATAAACAAAAATCGAAAAAAAAATCAAAATTGAAATCGAAAAAAAAAGAACCAAGAAATCGAAAAACAAAAAATCAAAATCGAAAACATAATGTATTAAAATCGAATAAACAAGAAACAAAAATCAGAAAAAAAAAAAATCAAAATTGAATTCGGAAACAAAATAACCCAGAAATCGAAAACAAAAAAATCGAAATTGCTATCGAAATAAAAACCTAGAAATCGAAAATCAAATAAAAATCGAAAAAAATAAATCTATTAAAATCGAGTTAAAAAAAACCAGAAATCGAAAAAATAAATAAATCGATTAAAATAAAAGAAAATTCGAAAATCAGTTAAGAACCCAGAAAATAAAAAAAAATTGAATTAAAATCAAGAAATTATACCCTAACCTTGCTCATGCATGTGTTCGTGGTGGATTAAACCAAAATTTTTTTGATGAAACCCATAAAAAATTAAAGAGAAGAGATGGTGGTGGTGGCTTTGCGGTGTTGTTGTTGTTGTTGCGGTGGTGTTGTTGTTGTTGCGGAGATGCTCGAAGAGAAAGAGAAGAGATTAGGAATGAAGGAGAGCTAGAGGAGAGAGAAGGGAGAGCAGAGGAGAGAGAAGGAGAGGAGAGAGTAAAGAGGCGGAGTGAGAGCAGAGATAAGGTTAAGTGTTTTAGGGTTATAAAATGGCCGGCTTTTTTTTTTTTAAATAATTAAAGGCCCGGTTCACAAAGGCACCGGTTCAAACCGGTGGCCTTTATGATTTTGGCACCGGTTTGAAGTGAACCGGTGCCTTTTACACTAGTTCAGCTTCCCACCAATTTTGTAGACCATTTTTGGCACCGGTTTGGACTGAATCGGTGCTAATTAGGGGGTGTCTTTTTGATATTTTCTACTAGTGCATATTTGAATATTAATAGAGGTTTTTGGGTTCTTCAATTTAGTGGTGTAATCGTGCTGATATGGACTTTCCCAAGTTTAATAAAATATTCAATTATTCTTATTAATTAGATCTTTCAAGTTTTCATATCAATTTTTTTTATTTTTTTTTTTATTCAAGTAAGGTAATGTAGGAGATTTCAATAGTGGTCAATTAGTGTGTTAATATGCTAATAGTGCTGAAACATTTGGAACTTGGTTATATGTTTCTTGTCTTGTGAAGTGTTCTACTTTGTCAATGAAAGTTGTAATTCATATTACTAGTGTGTTAATTTTGATTAATCATTAAATCATATAATGCATCATACTTGCTCTATTGTTTCTAGTGTTTCTATGTATAAATTTTAACTTGTGTCGGGTCATGGTTGAATATTCGGTATGAAAAGGTTATTTCTTTTTGGTATGTAGCATTAGTTGCGGCTCTTATAATTATGTAATCTAACTAATCGTTATATTTTGTATGGAAGTATACTTTGGACTTTCTTTATTAGTGTAATATATGCCCCTCCTTGAGCAAAACTCTGTTACATTGGCTAATACTTATTTTAGTATATGCAAATATTCTTCTTCTGAAATTACAGTGAATTTCGGACATATCATGACGTAATCTCATAACAATTGCTGGCTAAAATTGAAGTTCAAGTTGTGTAGTGTGCTGGTCGGAGAAAGGTGTTTTAAATGCTCCATGATTTGCCAATTTGCCACTATTTTAATTTGGGTGCCGCTACTGCTAGTTGCTGGAACACTACTACTGCTTTCTGCTGCTACTCCAATTTTAGTGTACTCAAATTGACTAATTGTATTTTTTTTTTTCTTCATTTTATTAGGATGAAAAGTGTAAAATTATAAGTTACTAAAGAAACTATGAATTATCTAAGTTTTATGTGCATGTATGTACTATTATCTAAGATACTAATGAAAACATTGAAGTTTTTTGTGTATATCAGTGCTTTTAAGCCATTTTGAGCCGGTGCCTTTTTTTTCTTCTACTATTGTTATTAGCCACAGTAATCTATGGCAACAGAGTCTACAAGCCACAGTAGTATTTGTAATAAACAAGCTTATTAGCCACGGTAATATCTGTTGCAATAATGTTTATTAGCCACCGTAGAATTTGTGGCAAGTAATTTGTTAGCCACATTACTATTCGTGGCACATGAATTTGTTTGCCACGTGAATACCAGTGACATAAAATTTTAAATTTGCCACGACATCCATTTTACCATGGAAAATTCCTAGCCACGACCAATTGTGCCATGGGAGTAAATTACGAAATTCTTGTGGCTAAATTACATAGCCACGGGAATTCAAACTTACGTCACAATTTTACTCGTGCCACAAAGATCAATTTATTGTAGCTATGTGTTGTGTTCTGCAAGAATTGAAGAGATTGTAAGCGCAAAAAATCTCTATTTGCAATTTGATGTAATCAAAGTCGCCACTGACAACATCTCTACCGAAAATAAAATTAGTCGAGGTGGATTTGGAGTTGTTTACATGGTATGTTTGCGTAATTGACATATATTACTTAGAACTATTGCTTTTTTCTTTTTATGTCAAACATTTTACCTGTAATTTCTTCTTGTTAGACAAACAACTTATGTTTGTTCACTTTTAAATTTAGGGAACACTGCAGATGGACAAACTATAGCTGTTAAGAGGCTTGCAAGTCCCTTAGGGAAAGGAATTAGGGAATTCAAGAGTGAAGCATGCTTAGCAGCAAAGCTGCAACATAAGAATCTTGTCAAACTTTATGGATTTTGCTTAGACGGAGAATAAAAATCACGGAAATTTCATGAAATGCCCCTAAGTAATTTTTTTATTCACCAAATACCCATCAAAACTTTCAAATTCACCAAATACTCTTGAATTTAAAAAAAATTTCACCAAATGCCCTTAATGACTAACGGCGGTTGACACCGTTAGTCATTAATGACTAATACACCACGTGGCAGCATCCAATTGGTTGTTGCAATATAAATAAATTAATTATTAAAAAAACTTAAAAAATAAAAAAAAACTTAAAATTTTTTTTTTAAAATACCCCCACCGGCCACCACCCCCTAGACCCACCCCGCCCCACCACCCCTGCAGACGACGCCGGCGCCGGCCGCCATCTCCCAGCCGGAACCGGCCGCCGGTCGCCGGCGAGGCCAGCCCCCCCACCCTCGACACCCCCTCCCCTACCCCCAGCCCCCTCTCCCTCCGTTTCCCCTCCTCTTAAACCCCTCCCCATCCCTCGAAACCCCCCCCCCCTTTGCGGCCGGCGTCCAAACCCCCTCCCCGGCGCCGGCGAACCTTTTTCGCCCCACCCCCCGCCATCCCCACCCCCTTTCCCCCCTAAACCACCACCTTAAAAACCAAAAACCCCCAAATCGAAACCCTAGATTTCGATTTGGGGTTTTTTCGATTAAAGGGTTTTTTGGTTTTTTGGCTAGTGGTTTAGGGGGAAAGGGGGTGGGAATGGCAGGGGGTGGGCGAAATTGGTTCGCCGGCGCCGGGGTGGGGGTTTTGGGCGCCGGCCGTGAAGGGAGGGGGGTTTTTCGAGGTGGGGGAAGGGTTTAAGGGGAGGGGAAACGGAGGGAGAAGGGGCTGGGGGTAGGGGAGGGGGTGTTGGAGGGTGGGGGCTGCCCTCGCCGGCAAAAATGGACCACCGGCGCAGGGTCTGGGGGTGGTGGCCGGTGGTCAGCCGTTGGGGGTGGGGTGGGTCTTGGGTGGTTGGGGTAATTTTTTATTTATAATTTTTTTTTCTATTTTTAAAGTTTTTTTTAATTTATTTTTAAAGTTTGTTTTAATAATTAATTAATTAATATTACAACAACCACTTAGAGGCTGCCACGTGGCATATTAGTCATTGCTGACTAACGGTGTTAACCGCCGTTAGTCATTTAGGGCATTTGATAACATTTTTCTTAAACTCATGAGTATTTGGTGAATTTGAAAGTTTTGATGGGTATTTGGTGCATAAAAAAATAACTCAGAGGCATTTGATGAAATTTCCGTAAAAATTACTAGTATATTAGTTTGTGCCAAATAAAAACCTTGACCGATTTCTATATGGTATGATTTCAATTAAAACCTAAACTTTGTTATAAAAGGCAATTTCGGAAAATGCATACTAGATACAACTAGGGGAGCCCCTTTGAGAAAAGTTCTGATTTCTTAATGACTTTGTTATAAAAGACATTATGTGTTTTTCTTCTTTATGTTCTTCTATGGTTTTTTCTCATATGAAGAGAAAAGGCAATAAATAAATAAATCAAATGTCTCTAAAAGTAAATAAAAATTAATATAAAGTTAATAAAACAAGCTATAAAGTAAACCTATTAACTCAAATGCTAGAGCACTATGCGGATGCATAGAGATGTAGGTTCAATTCCTACATAATTTATCTCTAAAGGTAAATATAAAATACTCTAAAGTTATTCAAAATACCTCAAAAGTAAATCAAATCTTTCAAAAGTAAGTAGAAAAACTAGAAAAGTAAATAAATCAAATGTCTCTAAAAGTAAATAAAAAATATAAAGTTAATAAAACAATCTATAAAGTAAACCTATTAGCTCAAATGGTAGAGGACTATGCGGATGCATAGAGGTGTAGGTTCGATTCCTACGTATGTTATCTCTAAAGGTAAATATAAAATACTCAAAAAATATTCAAAATACCTTAAAAGTAAATAAAAATATTTCAAAAGTAAGTAGAAAAACTAGGAAAGTAAATAAATCAAATGTCTCTAAAAGTAAATAAAAAATAATATAAAGTTCATAAAACAATCTATTAGCTCAAATGATAGAGCACTATGCGGATGCATATAGGTGTTGGATAGATTTCTACAAAGGTTATCTTTAAAGGTAAATATAAAATACTCAAAAGTTATTCAAAATACCTCAAAAGTAAATCAAAATCTTTCGAAAGTAAGTAGAAATACTAGAAAAGTAAATGAATATATCTCTAGAGTAAATCAAATAACTCCGAAAAGACATCAAAAGTAGAGCATAATAAATTATCTTGAGACTTTGTTATATCAGATAAACTCCGAGTCGTTGACTTTCATATCCTTACAAGATGAGTCAAATTATAAGTTCGATATGATGTAGAGGTTTTCAAATTAAAAGTAGATAAAATAATATCAAAAGTTACTTCAAAAAAAAAAAAAAAAAAAAAAAAAAAAAAAAAAACCTATATCAAAAGTAAACAAAAAAAAAAAGAAATTAGAAAAGTAAATGAATATATCTCTAGGGTAAATCAAATAACTCCGAAAAGACATCAAAAGTAGAGCATAATAAATTATCTTGAGACTTTGTTATATCACATAAACTCCGAGTCGTTGACTTTCATATCCTTACAAGATGAGTCAAATTATAAGTTCGATATGATGTAGAGGTTTTCAAATTAAAAGTAGATAAAATAATATCAAAAGTTACTTCAAAATAAAAAATAAAAAAAAAACCTATATCAAAAGTAAACAAAAAAAAAGAAGAAATTTAATATAACATTACGACCTTCATATTACACACATAAACCTACTATTGATTCGAACCTACATCTTTTGTGCACTTGCACAATGCTCTACCTATTGAGCTAGTAGGCTATTACATAGCAAGAATAATTCGTTAACATAATCAATAGCTTTAGTTGAGCCTTACAGCAGCCCACAAATCATTCGTAGAGTAGAATAGGCTTATCAGACTTACTCATAGAAAAGGCTATGCATTTTTGTACTTAACTATTAAGCATAAATAAAGAGATAAGATTTATAGTTGAGCCCTTATTTATCATGCTAATAGACTACACCAGCTTAACCTTTGAGTACCCCCTTCTCATAGCCAGCTCCAGCCCATAGACTACACTAGCAACCTCAACAAGCTCAGGAGGCCATCTACAACAGCGTCTTTTCACAATAGCCAGCAGCAGCAGCAGCTTCCCCGCTTCATCTCCAATCACCACCTCTAGGCTCACACCATTCTCACAAAGCACATGCGCATCTACATTGATCTTTACATGATTATGGGGTGGAGGGAGCCACTTACACAAAGCAAGGCTCACCCCACTGACAATGCACCCTCCTACTTTAGCATTATACACCACATAATCCTCGCAGAAGGACACAAAACCAGCAGCCATAGCCACCCCATTAACAGTAGCGTTGTCATAAAAAAATCTGTAATGCCAAGCTACCAAGCAAGTAAAGCACACACCTTAAGTTGGGCTCTGTCAATTTTCCCTGCCATACACCATAAGAACTCCTTGAAAAGGTAGAGTAAAAGGAAATTATTCTCCATTATTTCAAATACAAAAACCTCCTTATCTGTATCATGAAACGAATGTAAAATGTTCTCATGATCAACAAAACTGAGGCTCAATAACTAGCTGGCAAATTCAAGTAGGATTCATCCTAAAAGCTATTGCAAACTAGGCTAACCAATCATACTCATAAACTAAAATTAGAAATCTAGGTTAGACCATTTACTTGGTCAAAGGTAGGGGTGCATCCAGATTCTTTATATAAGACTCAGGCATTAGAGCTTAGTTGCTCAATAATACCAAATCTAACAAAGAGATGAGTCACACAAAGCAAGGCACTGTAAAGCTTAGTTGCTCAAATAGCCAAGCTACTTTAAGAACTTGGGCATCAGTTGTATAACCCAGAGTATAATCGCACTTACAAAATTCACTCAGAAATTAATAAAAAAATTCACAAAAGTTGAAAATAAAACCTTAAAAGTAAATAAAAAAAAATCTATAAATTACAAGGGGTTTGGAACATTCGTAGTTATTCATATGACCCAGAAAACTAAAGATTGACCGAAAACTGAAAAACGACTTTGGAAGAGAAAGAAACAAACCATTATTTGGCATAGACCTTCAAATCAACAATAATAAATTAATTTAGAGAAATTAAACAATACAGTAGTTTATAGAAATTAAACAAAATATAAACAAAACTCTAATTTATTTAAACTAGTTATAAATCGTATCAGACAAAATCAAACAGATTATTATAACAAAAAATTAGTAGAACATAAAGTACAACAAATTGTGAGAAAAGACAACAAAAATCGCAATAAATCTGCATAATTTAAGCGAAATTGAACAGTAGTCAAGAACAAAATCACCAGCATACCCTAATTCAAAACCAAACCAATATAAACCCAAAACACTAACACTTATAGATTAAAGAGAACAAAGTAAAACAAAATCAAATTGAATATAACCAACAACGCACACATAATAAAATACAAAAAGTTACAAAATAAAACACTTACCTCTCCAAAATTAACAAGCTATAGCTAATCGAAGAACTTTATTTGCCAAATTGAAGTTTTTCGACGCGAAATCAAAGGAGTAAATTGCAGCAGGGAAAATTCAAGCGAGGAGAGAGAAAGCGTGAAGAGGAAATAGAGAGTGAAGAAGAGGAGAGAGAAGTGTGCGGTGCCGGTAGTCATTCAAATCATCGAATTTACTATTTTGCCATTAATGACACGGGTAGAATCTCGATCGTCAGATTAAGCTTGATCAACGCTCAGGATGAGCTCTTAGTTCTCATTATTCACCTTAGTTCACAGATGATCTAGTAGTATATATACTCCGTATATATATATATGGAAAAATTAGAAATAATAATCTCAACTTTCATCAATTTTTGTAGAATAATCCCAACTTTCGATTATACTAGAATAATCCGAGCTTTGGGGGGATTTCTTTTTTCTTCAATCCCAAATACCGGTTACCGGTTGAATGGGTTAAATTTTTTTTGGATAAAGTGACACGTGTCACAAAGTAATTGGTTAAAAAATATTTTAAAAAAACAAAATTAAAAAAAAAAAAAAAAAAAAACCACCATCAATCACCCAACCCTCCACGGCTCCACCCCTGCTCACCGAAGCCCCCATATCCACCACTGCCCTCTCCCTCCCCCACCCCGGAAAACACCACCTCCACCCCCCTATCTGACCTCCCTCATCCCGAAACCCCTGACCCCATCCCAAACCGTTGTTGGCTTTCCTTCTTGCCTCGCCAAACACCGCAGCACCACAACCTCGCCAAATACCACAACCATCCTAGCCGCAGCCACCTCAACCGCAAACACTAACCTCAAAGCTACCAAACAATCTCTATTTCAATCAAAAAATACACATCAACCAAAATTACAACCCCAATTTCGCAACGATTTTCAAGCAATTACATTGTTCAATTCGTTAATTAACAGTGCGTGGGGAGGGGGAATTGGCGGCGCAGGAGGAGGGGGAATTAGCAATGCAGGGGGAGGGGAAATTAGCAGCGCGGGGGGGGGGGGAATTGAGCTGAAATTAGAGGATGAATTGCTCGATTGCTGGTTGCGAAGCAGGCGGTGGTGTGCGGCTGTTGCGAGGGTCTATTTTGTGGCTAGAATTGGTGGCGAGTACAACTTCAGGCTGTGGTGGTTATTGTTGGAGGTGCGGCTTGTTGTGCGGGTTTTGTGTTTGGTGAGAGGTGAAGTGGTTAGGATTTGGTGTGGTGATTGTTGTTTGCGTGAGGAAGTAGGGGAAGGTGGTGGTTGTTGGGAGTTGATATTATTGTGGTGGTTGTGCGGGTTGTAGAAGGGAGGATTGCGTGGTGTAGAACCGTTGTGAGGTGGAGATGGAGGTTGGTAATTTAGGGGTGTGTAGCAGGGAGCAAGTGAGTTGTGGGTTAGTATATTGTTTTGGGGAGGGGGAATGGTGCTTTAGATTGGTAGCGGCCGGAGCGGCGACTATGGTGGTGGTTGCGTGGTGGTACGACGAGGCTGGTGGCTGGCTGGCGTCAACTAGAATGGTGGTTGCGTGGGGGTCTGACGAGGCTGGCTGGGTGTTTTTTTTTTAAAAAAAAAAATTTGTTTATTTTTTATTTTAAGGCCAATCATAACTTGACACGTGTCAAGTGACTTGAAATAATAGGTCATTGACTTTTGTTGACCGGTTAGGGATTGAAGAAATTCAAGACCCCCCAAAGTTCGGATTATTCTAGTATAATTCAAAGTTGGGATTATTTTACCTAAATTGATTAAAGTTGGGATTATTTTTTCTAATTTTTCCTATATATATATATATATATATATATATATATATATATATATATATATATATATATATATATATATATATTAAAGTGGTGTATTTTAGTGGTGATGAAAGTAAAATTTTCCTATATATATATAGGAAAATTTGACATTCATCACCACTAAAATACACCACTTTGATTTTTGCTACCTATTGAAATTTTTATTTTATTTTTCTACCACTTAAAACCTAAAATTTTAGTTTTTGCTACCACTTAACAGTTTTGTTACTATTTCCGTTTGTGGGACCTACTTATTTCCCCTTGCTACTATCACCTTAACCTCCACTCTACATATTCATTAAGCTTCACCACACCTTTACTCATACAAATCCACAAATAATTCCCCTACCCCTTACCCCCTTCGCCCAGCCACTCCACAAACCAACAACATCATCAAGTTGCAGCTCCCCCTACCAACTTCACCTCGTAGCACCTGTTGGGGTTTGGTGAGTCCGACTCATCGCGGAAACAAACCTTAAACCAAGACCGCACTCGCAATAAATAAAACCATAAACATAAATAAATTAATCACAAGATTAAGACAAGATAATTACCTTTGGAGCGTGCTTCGCCCAAACGGAACGGGCTCTTACTTCGAAAGCAAGCCTCGAAAATACGACGGCATCCAACGATAGTCCACCCACAACCCGACCACCGAAAATGGTCCAACGTCTTAGAGTTAGCAAGGCCCGACCAAAAACCCGAGTGATTAATGAGTTCAAAGGTTTTCACAATGGTGATGCCTTTTTCAACTCTCACTCAAGTAATTTTCCCAATACCCTAACTTGGGTATTTATAGGGAAAATAAGAGAGTGAAAAGCTCTCCTATCAATGTGGAAGAATTTGATTTTTCCATTTTATTTTAAAGAAAATAAAATTAATAATCAAACTAGTAATAAATCAACAAGTGCCAAGCTCATGTGAGAGGTTAGGCGAGGACCATTTGGAGGAAGGGGGGGACCAAACTTGCTCCCCACTCCCTCTCCAAAAACCGGCCAACACACCCCTTAGGCACCAAGGCACCAAAGGTGGGCTGACATGCCGTGGCTACCCAGCAGTGCTAGCACGCACGCAATGGCCCAACCATGCTGCTGTGGCTGGCACGCATTGCGTGCTAGCTGCTGCGGCTTGTTGCGGCATGGCTGCTAGCCAATGCGCGCACAAGGCAGCCCCCTTAGTTGCGCTAGCACGCACTAGGCTATGCCTAGTATTGCGATGCTAGCCTTGGTGTGCTAGCACGCACCAGCCAGCCTAGGCTCGGCTTGGTGCGCATGCTAGCCACCATGCTAGGTCAAATGCCCTTAGCACTCGGTTTGCTCGGGGCATTCCGATGCTAGGGGTATTTTTGTCTTTGTTGATTTATTATTATTTTCATGTCTCGTCTTTTATTATTTTTCGACTTGACTTCCGACGTTCGGTTTCGACGCTCTAAGCTCGAATTCCCGACGTCTAAATATTAATTACTCGGTTGACTTATTAATTAATTCATAATTAATTAGTCGCTTCGGTTCATTAGTTGCTTGGGTGTAACCCGAAGGGTTTAGTCAAGATTAAGCTGTAATATTAATTATGCATTAATATCACTTATCGGAACCGGCCTCCACCCTGCCATTCCGATCACTTGACCTTACTGAATATATTAGCTTTCTAATAATTCTGAACCCACTAACGGAATAGTACACTTGTTCGAAGGACACTATTCCTTTCAGCACCACCTATTCAAACCAAGCAGCAACCTAGCCACCGCAATCAACCTCGCAGCCCCAATTACAACCTCGCAGCTCCTGCTCCTCTCAGCTCCCACACATCCTCAACAGCAACACTACCCACATCGACCACCATCACACCACATCTTATCCCCCATTCTAATTGCCACGGGGCAGCCGTTAAACACCAATAACATAACCCCTACTTGCTGCCTCATTTTCTACTAATCCTCCACCACAACACTCACAACCACCTCACCAACATCAACCCACAAACCAGCGAAGACAATCATGAAAGCCCTATTTTTCCACCACGTTGCTCTACCGTCCACACAACCCTAATGCAACAAGCAACAGCCGCAAAACAATCACCTTGCCATCACCACTCCGGCCACTACAAATTTTTTTCCCTTGTAATTCAACTATAATGATTACTCGATTATAATCGACCTATTTCAATTCAACTTAATTGGGATTTGAAGACTATAACCAACCTATTTCAATTTAATTCAACTTAATTCAACTTAATTTGGGATTTGAAAAAAAAAAATCTTAAAATTAATTGGGATTTGAAGTGGGTGCTGCTTGCAATCAACCTATTTTAATTCGAGGCTGAATTTTTCAATTAATGTAATGGGCAAGAATCTGAGATTACTTGGTGCTTGGTGATGATGTTGTCGATTGATGATAATGATCGGTGCTGATGATTGCGTAGTGGGGTTGTCAGAGAGTGGGCGGTGTTGCTGGAAAGTGTATGGGGGTTTGAGATGGGCTGCTATGAGAAGGTTCGTGGAGAGAGAAAGAAGAGAATGGAAGGAGGTAAGTAAGTGGGTCCTACAGGCGAAAATACCAATCGAACTGTTAAGTATATAAGTATATATATATATATATATATATATATATATATATATATATATATATATATATATATATATATAGAAAAGCACATCATGAGCTCAAACTACATGATCTCATTTCTTTTAACCGACAATAGTAACAACAAACAAGCAAAAAACCGAAAATCAAACATAAAGACAATCCATGTTACTTCAAACATACCAAAATTTAAAGAGCATAATTTTGAATGAAACTAAACAAACCTCTTTTATATATTCTTCAAAATATGAATGTGAATCCTATCCTTTTTTCCGTTTATTTATTATTATTATTTATGTTTTCTATGATGACAAATACTCTAAATAATATATTATAATTAGGGCCTTAGGGGTGAGCAAAAAATCAGGGTACCCTTAATCGGAACCGGAACCTGTTAGGAACCGCAGGTTTCGGAACCAGAACCTGTATAAGAGGTTCTGGTTCCGGGTAGCAAACTGGAGAACCTGTTGTAATAGGTTTCGGTTCAGGTTCTCAATTTTTCGGAACCGGAACCTGTAGGGTATCCTGTACCTGATAAAAGTATCACTTAATTTCAAATTATACACTAATTCTTACTCAATTTTTAAATAATAAATATCAAAATTACAATTATAAAAGTATATATATTAAATTTGTTAGACAACTACTATTAGTTTGTCTTATTTGCAAGTTGCAAACATTATAAATTAGTGACCAACCAGTTTTTTTATTTAAAATTCCGCGAAAAAGTTAGTGAGTATATCATAATACAGGGTGCCCTGAATCGGAACCGTACCGAAACCTACAGGTTCCGATTCCGGTTCCCAATTTCCAGGAACCTGTTCAACAGGTTCCGATTCTCATTTTGAGGAATCTGTTGCAACAGGTTCCGGTTCCAGTTCTAGAATTTTTCAGGGTACCCTCACCCCTAATTATAATAAATGAAATCAACAAATATTAGAAACCTTATCAAGCAAGCAATCAAAAGTACATACTACTCTAACTCTACATAATCACCTATACCCTACTCTACACATCATAACACACTATTGAATAATTTACAGTTGTGTCAATAGTGCCTATCATAAAGTAGGTAATTTAGAGTACAATCTCAATAGTACAACAATTTCAAAGGGCCATTTTATTTTTTAGGGTGTTTGTAAGCTATACACTTAAGGTAAATCGAGTTTTTAAGGTGTACCCATACTTTTTCAAATTTTTAAAATGTGCCCTTCAATTCAATACCATTAATGAAGGTACCCTCCTTGGGACTTCCATGTCACCTAAAGTTAACTATAAATTAAATAAAACTGAAGCCACAAAATCACACTCTCAATTAACTTTTAAACAACTAATAAGGGTACATTTTAGTATTGATAAACAGATGAAGGGCACGACTTAGAAACTTGAAAAAGTATGGATACACCTTACAAACTCGACTACCTTAGAAGTATAGCTAAGAAAATCTCTATTTTTTTTATTACCAATATAATTTTAAAAAGTTGACATCACATATATTAATAACTTAATTAGCATCCCTGCTCTTTAAACAAATAATCTTAATTATCCTTATTCTATAAATTAATGATGATTTCAAATCAAAGTAAAAAATATTTAAATTATATCAATTACAACTACCCACAAAATTAACAACTAATATACATAACCCAGTTGCATGCTTTGTTTTTTTTTTTTTTTTTTTTTCCCTTTCCTACTAATAATTTTTTTTTTGTTTCCCCCTAAAATCTTTCTGTTTGGAAATTTATGATTACTTGATTTAACGTAATAATCTAATTGTATTGTATTAAATGTGTAAAACAACCACAACAGGAAAACGTCTTTAAGGGAAAATAGCCACATAGCATAACCAAATAAACCATAACAACGCTTAAATTCCAATTAATTAATAAAAGCTCAACAAAAATAATCCACTTTAATAAACAATCCATAAGAGAAAGCTAAACAAAAATAAGAAGCCCAATAAAAATTGCCACAGTACCAACCAAGAAACCAACCCAAAAAATATTATCCAATTACAGCTGCCACAGTACCAACCCAAAAACCAACCCAAGAAATATTATCCATCGAAAGCAAGGGCAAAGAAGTCTCCACACTATCTGTAAGCATAGTGAATTGCATGCACTGCTCATAAGCACAGTACCCGGACTCCGCATATTTATAAAAAGAGTTTTTGATTTCAAACTCTTTGATATTATCTTTTCAAAAAGATAAATTAACTTTCTAGAACACTTCTAATGGGCTTATAATATATTGTTAGAAAGCTCTTTTCAAATCTCATCCAATTAACAAATGATTAGACCGAGATTATGGACCAAAATAATATGGTTTTGACATTTTCATGATTCGGACATGAAATGAATAATTTAAGGACCCGAAATAAATGATTTTAGGTTTAAAGGCACGAAATGAATGATTTTGGATTAAAACATTTTAGGTGAGGTTAGAAAGATGGTTAAGGCTTAAGGAAATTTCGCTAGATTCTTCAACTCTTTACCGATCTCGTTAATCAAAACGTGAAAGGTACTCATCACTAAATTTAGTTTTTGGGAAGACACAATCAGGTGTTCACACACATCTACAAAACATCTATAAAATAATATTCTATAATCCAAAATCATAACTGAAGTTAAAGACGGCACAAAACTCTTATGCATAATAAACATGAATCGTTTTGTTAATAAGCATGTTATGATACAAGTAAATTTAAATATATATCTACCTACCAGAATTGCTAATATTGTGATACATGTTTACAAGAGAGGATATGAAAGTTTTAACAAATCAAATACGAACTTAATTTTTATTCGACTCCAAAAATTTCGATTTGATTTGATTCAGAAAATCACTCACATCTAGCGTCGTTGCGAAATTGCCAACACATATCTTAGAAGAATGATAAGTAGTGTGATTTTTAAATTTACTTTACCACATTATGTGGTTATAAAATAAACAACGAGATGGGAATTTGACAATAACGGTGAACAATAGCAGTAATGTAGTTGAATTCCATTATGACGCTACCTAACTCAACTACTAGCTTACTCAGCAACTAATTTACTAACTGTTATGGATAAAAATGTGTAAGATTTAGTCAACGGTAGGCAATGAAGGTCAAGGACGAAGACTTTCCTCCGACATGGTCGTGAGCTCGACGACGCACTACTAGCACCAACGGAAGACGAAGTCAAATAATAACTTCCTATTTTTCGGGAAAAAGATAAAGCAAGGACTTAGTCTAAACTCAGCCAAATCAGTCCGAGAGAATTCAAAACAGAAGAAGAATATTTTCAGCAACTAAATCCGAGAATCAAGGGCATGAACTTATCTCCTTGCAACGGCTAGGGCATAACCTAGCAAATCGTCTATATAAGGGTTGCAGCAACAGCAAACAGGGCATCTATCCCAAGCCTACATCTTACCTCAGAAACTTGTAATTCAATATCACTTTGTGCATAGTGAAAGTTTGGTAGATCCTCATTCTACCCGCGGTTTTTACCTTCCTTGGGTTTTCCGCGTCACCAACTCCTTGTGTCATTTATTTTTCTCCTTTATTTCACGTTACATTTTGCTTAGTTGATCCGTAGCCTAGATTTTGATATTCAATCCCACTTAACGAAAATTAGCATAAACAATTTGGCGCCCACCGTGGGGCTACAACTAGGTAAAATCAAAAATTTCTCACCAAGCCTTCAACATGTCAGCCGACGAAATGACCCCAGAACAGCTGAAAGCTGCCTATGAGAAAGTTCAAGCCGATCTCGAGGCTGCTAGGGAATCTAACGAGCGTCCCAGCAAAGAAAAAGAAGCGTCAGACTCCGATGCCGCTGCCCTCCGCCAACAACTGGAATTCGCCCAAAGCAACCGTCGCCGCCGACCGGGGCAGCTAGACCTGATCCCCAGAATGCTGTCTTTCGATGTCATCGAGTCCCCCCATGATACTGATACAGAAACTAGTGGCGAAGAAATGGACGTGACCCTCCCATTAGAAATCCTGGGCAAGGGAGCATCCGGACTCCAGGTGACGACCAAGGTAACCCGCAACCTGATCGAACTGAAATCCTACTCCAAAGGTTGGTTGCCCTAGAAAAGCAGAACGCCCGGGTCCTGTCAATGATGAAAAAGATGCCCGGCGTGCCAATCCCCGTCCAGCGAGAAGCCCCGGGTGGATTTGCAGCTACCCCTTTCTGTGACAAGTTGGCCTTGGCCCGAATCCCCAGGAGATTGTCGCTCCCGACGTTTACGTCGCTATATGATGGAACGACCTGTCCAGAGCACCATGTCGAGTATTACAAGCAGCGAATGTGGCAAGCTTCTATCTCGTTCGAGTGCTGGGAGGCATGCATGTGCAAATCATTTGGCGCGACGCTGACAGGCCCCGCCCTCAAGTGGCTCGGCAAGCTTGAACTAGGTAGTATAACTAGTTTTGCTATGTTAGTTAACAAATTCTACTCCCATTTTGAGAGCAACAGGAAGTTCGACAAGCAGACAAGCGATCTATATCAGATCGTCCAGGGTCCTAAAGCGACCATCAGAGCCTATTGGTCCCGGTTCAATAAAGAGAAAGTCTCGATCAAGAATGTCGACAACAGGACTGCCATTGAAGCCTTCCTCCGCGGACTGCATACGGACTCAGATCTGTATAAAGATATGATCAAGTATCCATGCTCGACGTTCGAAGAGGTCAGGACCCGAGCCGTGGCTTAAATGCGCTTCGACGAAGATATTGCCAATCGCGGTTCCTACCCAGGTTCCAAAAGTTCGTCCGATCGAAAGGCCGCCAGCAACACCCGAGGGTCGTGGAGACATCAGCCTTACGAGGCGACAGGTAAATCACGCTCTGTTAATGCTGTGCAGGTAGAGGATATTCTCGACGCTCCCCAGTATCCCGATATATCGGAGTATGGCTTTGACGTGAATATCGTAGCGGTAGTGAAGGAATTGGAGCCTCTGGGAAGCAAAGTCCGCTGGCCGTCGAAGAGCTATAAGCCAGAATCAGAGAAAGATATGAGCAAATGGTGCGAGTTCCATAGTGATCATGGCCATAAGACGGAAGACTGCTATGCCCTGCGGAGAGAAGTCACCTTCCAGCTGAAGAGAGGCAACCTCAAGCATCTGTTGGGAAAAAAGAAAAGCAGTGACGCAGGTCGCCGTGAGCCAGAAAAGATGACGGCATCCGGGCCCCCCAAGCCCCCTGTACCCAAGGTAATAGTTAATGTTATCACTGGTGGTTCCGATATTTGTGGACTAACCTACTCTGCAGCAAAAAGGGTCGCAAAGTCGACAATAGAGAATGCAGTTGTCCCAGACGAGATCAGAGACCCCCTGGAAAAGAAGCTAGAAGCAATGTCGATAACTTTCGACGATGATGACGTCAACAACATCAGCAGGGACCATGAAGATTCTCTGGTAATTTCTTTGCTCGTCGGGAATTGTCTGCTTCGAAGGGTGCTGGTCGACGGAGGAAGCTCCGCAAATATCTTGTTCAGAAGAGCCATGGAAGATATGGGGTTGAAAGATAGCGACATCACCAGAAGGTCGACAACTCTGGTCGGTTTTAGTGGGGAAAGCATGTCAACTCTCGGAGATATAACCCTCCTAACCTTTGCAGGAGGCCTAAACCCTCAGACCAAATTCAATATCGTAGATTGCCCATCGGCCTATAATGCTATATTGGGACGTCCCTGGATCCACCGATTAAAAGCCATACCTTCCACGTACCACCAATTAATCAAATTTCCTACCCCGTGGGGAGTCCAAGAAATTAAAGGAGAGCCCCGCGAAGCCAAACACTGCTACAAAACGACCCTTAAACCATCCATGAGAACCGCATAGCAATTACAGCATGGCCCGACACCAGACAATCCCAACGACCTCGAAATCGAAGAAATACCCTTAGACCCTGATGTGCCTGATCAAACCGTTCATGTCGGAGCCAACCTAAAACCTGAACTCAAAAACAGCATATTAACCTTTCTCCGAGAGAACAAAGATTGTTTCGCCTGGTCTCATAAGGACTTGACTGGCATAGACCCAAGCATCATCTCGCATAAGTTGAACGTCGACCCCAATCATAAGCCCGTTAAGCAAAAGCGTCAAAAGTTCACGCCAGAAAGGAATAAGATCATCAATGACGAGGTGCAGCAGCTGATCGACGCAGGAAAAATAAGAGAAGTGAAATACCCAGATTGGCTCGCAAATGTTGTCGTCGTCAGCAAAAAGAATGGCAAGTGGAGGGTGTGCATCGACTTCACCGATCTCAACAAATCATGCCCTAAGGATCCGTTCCCGCTCCCGCACATCGACGCCATGGTAGATGCAACGGCAGGTCACGAGCTCTTAACATTCATGGACGCCTACTCCGGTTACAACCAGATATTGATACATCCCGATGATCAGGAGAAGACGACATTCATGACCGAAAAAGGTATATATTGTTATAAAGTTATGCCATTTGGACTAAAAAATGCAGGTTCGACGTACCAGAGACTCGTCAATAAGATGTTCAAAAACCAGCTAGGAGAGACGATGGAGGTATACATCGACGATATGCTGGTGAAATCTAAAAAAGCCAAGGATCACGTCGATCACCTCAAGCAGACCTTCGAGGTATTGCGGAAGTATGGTATGAAACTTAACCCTACTAAATGTTCATTTGGAGTGTCTGCTGGAAAACTTTTGGGCTATGTAGTAACACAAAGGGGAATTGAAGCTAGCCCTGACCAATTCAGAGCCCTAATAAATATTCAATCCCCCCGAAATGTTAAAGAAAACCAAAAATTGACGGGACGAGTGGCAGCATTAAATCGCTTCATCTCTAGGTCGTCAGACAAATGTCACCTATTTTATAAAGTTTTAAGAAAATAAAGGTTTTGAATGGACTGACGATCATGAGAAAGCTTTGCAGGATTTAAAAAAATACTTAATGACGCCACCCCTCCTGTCGAAACCCAAAACTAACGAACCTTTGCAGCTTTATATTGCCGTCAGTACCATAGCCGTCAGCGCAGTCCTGACCAGAGAAGATGATGAAGCTGGGCAGCTTCTGGTTTACTACGTAAGTAAAACCTTGCTCCCATCCGAGGTAAGATACACTTCCTTAGAGAAATTATCCCTTGCCTTATTTAATGCTGTTAAGAAACTAAGGCACTATTTTGAAACCCACCACGTAGTGGTGATGACTAACTACCCGCTTAAGTCTGTCTTGAGAAAACCAGATCTGACAGGGCGTTTAGGTAAATGGAGCATCTCGTTGAGCACGATGGACATCGAATACCAACCTAGGAAGGCAATTAAGTCCCAAGCTCTCGCAGATTTTGTGGCTGACTTCAGCCCCGATCTACAGGTTATAGCCGATAAAGAGCTGGAAGAAATAAATAGCGTCCAAGGCAAAGGAAAATGGATCTTATTCGTCGATGGATCATCCAATCAACGAGGAGAAGGACTGGGAATGGTGCTAAAGTCGCCACAAGGGGACATGATAGTAAGGTCTGTATCTTGTGATTTTAAAGCAACTAACAATGAAGCAGAATACGAAGCTTTGATTGCAGGAATGACCGTCGCCAAGGACTTAGGAGCAACATCCCTGGATGTGTACATCGACTCTCTCCTCATCATCATCCAAGTAACAGGCGACTTCGCAGCAAAAGACTCCAAAATGTCATCATACCTTGACATAGCCAAAGAAAAGTCCAAACACTTCAATCCTTTTATTATCTCTCAAATTCCAAGAGACCAAAACATCCAAGCTGACGCCCTAGAAAACCTAGCCTCCGCCCTCAGAAAAAACGCCTTCACAAACATCCCTTTAGTCCATTTACAAAAGCCGTCCGTATCTTTTAAAGAAATCCTACCCGTCGACGACGTCAACAACGACGACGACTGGACCAGACCGATCATAGACTACTTAACCAAAGACATCCTACCCAATGACAAAGCAGATTCGCGAAAGCTAAAATATAAGGCCTCCCGGTACCATATCATCGACGGAGTCCTATTCCGCAAATCGGCGTCGGGACTATCCCAAAGATGCATCCGAAAGAGCGATCAACAGTCCATCCTCAGCCATTTGCATGATGGGATATGTAGCAGTCATGTCGGAGGAAGAAGACTTGCCAACATCGCGAAGCGACAAGGGTACTTTTGGCCTAAACTTCATGAGGACGCAATGCAGTACGTGACTAAATGCGATAGTTGTCAGCAGCCAACGCCGTTCATAAACCATCAGAGCCCCTCCACCAAACATTATCTCCGTGGCCCTTCATGAGATGGGGAATGGACATCGTTGGGAAGCTACCCGCGGCGCCAGGTCAAAGAGTATATATGTTTGGAATTCCATCGGTGATCGTCTGTGACAATGGATCACAGTTTATTAGCGACAAAACTCGTTCCTTTTTGCAGAAATTTTGCATAGAGTTGAGGACGTCGACACCAAGGTATCCACAAGCCAATGGAAAAGCTGATTCTAGCAATAAAGTAGTCATGGAAGCCATTAAGAAAAGGCTGAAGGCAGCAAAAGGCAAATGGGCTGACGAGCTCCCAGCAGTTCTATGGGCCAACCGGACAACGCCGAGAGAGGTAACAGGGCAGACGCCCTTCTCCCTTGTCTATGGATGTGAAGCCGTTCTGCCAGTTGAGGCCGACTTTCCAACGTCAAGGTTCGGACTCATGACGGAGGAAAGGAATCAAGAGGAAATGGAAGATAGTTGTTGAGTCCCTTAGGTTTTGATTGATAGTTTTGAATGATGACAAACAGCTAAGGGAAACAGGTCCTTGAAAGTGTTTGATACAGTTGGGGGAACCAGCTAACATAGAACACTGTTTCCCCAGACAAGTTATTACTTACATGAGTTTTCTTATTGAACTAACTTGTCTTTATACAGGGAACAGTTATATGATAAAAGTGTTATGTACTGGTAGGGAACCAGTATGTACTGTTTCCATGGTTGCTACGTGGTACAGCAGTCACTTACTTTATATTGTGCATTAACCTTATTGATTGTGCAGAATATAAGTTGATTCCAAATCTTGAAGCAGATAGGACTTTCGAAGAGATTAAAGAAAGTTCCGTTGGTTACAATTGAGGTTATCTAAAGAAGGTTTTCAAGACTTGAAGTTTACATGAAGGAAGATCCACATCAAGAAAGAGCTTTTTTAGGATCTTCATGTAAATGCTCCGTAGTATGGTTTATTAATGGATATATAAAGTGCTTTAAATATATCGAGCATCGTTGTGAAATTTGGTACAAGGATTGGAACAAATTTCATAACATGTTCAACTCAGGGAACCAGGTCTGGGGACCAGGTTAACTGATCAGGTTATTAGAGCTGCGATTTTAAAAAGATTTTATAAAAAGATTTTTTATTGAAAATTCAGTTTTGAAAATATATCTTGGCAGCTGTAAATTGATGTGATATAATCTTTAAATACCTAAAAACTAGGAGTAATTATCTTGAGTTGATTTTATCTTATAATAGAATCAATTAAAGATAAATACTTACCTAAATTATGTTTATCTTATTGGCATGATTTATGGTAACTAGGGTTTCGGTTTTCTAAGACTATAAATACAATCTATTCGCTAATAATCTAAACAGATCTCTCACACGCATAAAAAGGAGTTTTTCATTATTGAGAGCAAAAGCACTAAATCCATTATTGAATCATATACAAGAGCATCTAGTGTTTAATATTTTCTCTACATTAACTTTTGAGAGTTAGATCATTAGAGAGTTTTGATCTTGTAATTGAGTCTTTGGCAAAGAGGCTAAAGGCTGGGTGAGTGTTTGTGAGTTCAAACACGTTTAGAACTTACGAGGGTAAGTTGAGAGCATACTCGGAGTAGAGTGTGGGGTTTGCTGGTTCCCGGAGTAGGGAAACAGCAGAGTGTTCTTTGTCTTTGTTTTTCGGAGTAGATTAATAAAGAACTTAGGATAGGAGGACGTAGGCCTGAGTTGGCTGAACCTCGTTAAATTTGTTGTCTTCTTTATTGCTTATTTATATTCCGCTGCGTACGGGAACCAGCACAACTGGTTCCTCACACATAATCCGAAAAGAAGCAAAATTAGCCAACGATTACTTAACACTCAATTCACCCCCCCCTCTTGAGTGCCCATTGAACCTTCAATTGGTATCAGAGCCTAAGCTTCTCGAAAGAGTAACATCTAGAGGAGTTAAGAATGAGTACTCAAGAATTAAGTGCAATCGGTTATGACAACAAGTCACCCAAGTTTAATGGAAATAATTATGCTTGGTGGAAGAACAGGATCCAGAATGTTATCATGGGTATTGATTATGAATGCTGGCTCGTAGTTAAAAATGGTCCTAATATCATTCTCAAGACAGATGTTGAGGGGAACCAGGTTCCCAAGAAAGATAGCGAATTGGTCACTGCTGATTACAAGTTGCTGGAGAAGAATGCTAAGGCAATGTCAATACTACAACAAGCAATAGGTGAGACCGAAACAAATCGTATATCTGGCTGCAGTAGTGCTAAGGAGATATGGGACACCCTTGAACTTGCGTTTGAGGGAACCAGTGAGGTAAAACGGTCTAAAATTGATTTAATCATGTCTAAATATGAATTGTTTGCCATGAATAAAAATGAAAAAATCAATGATTGCTTTCGTAGGTTTATGACTATTGTAAATGATCTTAGATCTCTTGGTAAAAATTTATCTGACGAGGATCTTGTGAGAAAATTATTGCGTAGTTTAACAGATGCATGGACAGCCAAGGTAACAGCAGTATACGAAGCAAAGGATCTGTCTACCTTGTCTCTGGAACAGCTGATTGGTTCCCTTATGACTCATGAGATGCTGATTGACTCTAAGTCTGAGAAGGAACCAGCAAGAGGCATGGCGCTTAAGGGAACAGTAGAAGATGATGAAGATGAAATTAGCATGATTGCAAAAAGATTTGAGAGATCTCTTCGAGATCAAAGAAAGAATTTCAAAGGTAAGCATTTTAAAAACTATAAAAAATCTAACTCTAATTCTTCTTCTACAGGATGTTTCAAGTGTGGAGAAAAAGGACATCTTATTCGAGATTGTCCTAAGTGGAATGACAAACAGTCTAAATCCGGAGATAAACAAGCATACAAGAATGCCATGATAGCTTCCATGTGGGGAGACTCTGACTCAGGGTCAGATGAAGAAGAAGGATCACCCAACTCAGATGTTTGCCTAACTGCCTTTACAAACATCAAGGAAAACAGCACTGGTCCAGGAACCAGAGGGGGAACCAGTACATTCAACAAATGCTTTATGGCAAAGAAGGATGTACTACATGAACGCAAGGTAAGCTTAGAGCAAATTAGAGAAGATATGCATGAATATGATAGAGAAAATATGCTTGCTTGTATTGATTCCTTACTAGATGAATGCTATAAACTAAGTGAAACATACATAACTTGCAAAAGAGAATTAAAAGAAAAACGTGGTGAATGTAATATTGCTATTGCTAGTTGTGATCATCTAGAAGGAGTCTGTTATGAACTAAAAAATCAAGTAGCAGAACTAGAGGTTGAATTGGACAAGTGTAAAGTGGAACTAGAAAAGGAAAGATCGTTTGAACCAATTGATGGTGAAGAGGATCTGACCTCCTGGTTCCCTAGAGACTTATCAACCACTAGTGATACTCTTGATTTTTCAGTAGCTATAAGTAAAGCAAATTCGTGTACTAGAACTTCCTTGTTGAAGGCCTTTGAAACATTGGCTTACAACCTGGAAAACTCTCACAAGGAAATTGCTTCACTTAAAGCTGCACAGTTCACTGTTTCCCCTACAGGTACCAGTGTAGATGTCAGTAATACGATTGATAAGTATGAAAGTAATATTTGTGATTTGCATGCGGAAATCAATCAACTGAAAAAGGACAAGCAACCAGTGGTTGTTGACATGTCTATTGACTCTATGGTTTCAAAGCTTAATCTACAATTCGAAGCTTTAAAAAGTAACTTTGATTTTCTTAAAGAGAAAAACGAATTGTTAACTAAAACACTTGAAACCAGAGAAAAAGAACTTAATGATAGTCATAGACATGTGGACAAATTATTGAATGCTCAAGAATCCTTAAATTACCTGACTTCATCAAGAGGAAACAGAGGAAAAGTTGGTCTTGGTTATACTAGACAGAGAACCAGGACTAACTGGTCTCCCAGAGAAACCACCTGGATCAAAGAATATCAACGAGGCAAGTATGTCATGACTAAAGAGATGCATGTGTGTTTTCATTGTGGTAAAAATGGACATAAGATACATGAATGTCCAGCTAAGAAAATTAGTGCTAATAAGAACAGCAAGGGTGTAAAATATGTGTGGAGAAGAAAGGATCAACAAGATGTTAATGTTGTTGAAAAGGGACCCAAGTATGTTTGGGTTCCTAAAACTAATGTTTGATTTGCTCTTGCAGGCTAGAGTGAAGGGAGACACCTATTGGTATTTGGACAGTGGTTGCTCAAGACACATGTCCGGGGATAAAGATCAATTCCTTTCACTAGTGGCCTTTGATGGAGGAAGTGTCACCTTTGGGGATAACAGCAAGGGAACCATCACTGGTTTAGGTAAGGTTGGTAAGACACTTTCTAACGCAATAGATGATGTTTATTATGTTGAAGGCTTGCAACATAATCTCTTGAGTATTTCTCAATTATGTGACAAAGGTAATATAGTTGAGTTTCAAGCCAACCTATGTCACATAGTTAACTCACAAACAGGAGAACTTGTATGTAAGGGAACCAGGAAGCATGATGTTTACATCACCTTCTTAGATAAAATCCCTCAAGACAAGTCCATCTGTTTGAGAGCTGTTTCTGACAATAATCAATGGATTTGGCATAAGAGGTTTGGACATGCTAGCCTAACACTTCTAAACAAACTTAAAACACGTGACCTAGTTGTAGGCCTTCCTAACATTAAGTATGAAGCTGATAAAGTTTGTTCTGAATGTGTAAGGGGGAAACAGGTCAAAATTTCTTTTAAGTCTAAAACTGTTTTGAGTACCAGCAGACCCTTCGAACTTGTACATATTGACTTGTGTGGTCCCATGAGAGTACAAAGTCGAAGAGGTCATAGATATGTCTGTGTTATGGTTGATGATTATTCTAGGTACACTTGGGTAATGATGTTACACACAAAGGATGAAACGTTTGAAGAATGGGTAACATTGGTGAAACAAGTGGAGAACCAGCTCACCCATAAGCTGGTCTCGGTAAGATCAGACCATGGCACTGAATTTGATAATGCTAACTTTATTGATTATTGTAG